ATTCGTTCGGTCGTATGAATATGCCTTTCTTTCTACTTATCTTTTGACGATATCTGCGTTGCGCGTGTCTGCACTCGGGTTCGTGGCCCCTATCAGGTTGTTTGGGGGCTTTGGTTCAAGGTTTAAAAGATTTAGTGTAGGACTTGCGGTTGATGTAGAGGTTTCAGGGTCAGGTTCTTCTCAAACCCTTCTACGGTAAGGGGACCTCTGCATTCCAGAGACCGAAACCCTGAGCGATGCCGTGTCTGAACGCATGCCCCTCTCATCGGAATATAGGTCCGGGGGACTATTTGGACTGAGGTTTAGATTTAGGAGCTTCCGAAAACAAGGGGTGCCATATTCTGGGGTCACTTTGATGAGGATCCTACTATTTAGGGTACTATATTGGGGTCGCCAATTTTCGGAAACCCCCATTTAGGGCCGAGCGGGGGGCAAGAAGGAACATAGAGTTTGTCATGAGCCTTGAGACACGGCCGTCAGCCTCAGGTCGCAAGTGATCGCCACCATTGCTCCATGCTTTATGTCAGATTTTATGCTGTAGTCTTGGTGCAGCGATAATCCCGTGATCCCAACCCTAGACTCCCAAGACCCTAAATCCGTCAGCCCGACAGTCTGCACAATTCGTATGCCTCGAACCCCCAAACGTTTGCACAGTCCGTATAATTCTTGCATCAGAGGCTTCAAAGCCTAGACTGCAAGCATACACCGCAGATGTACCTGAGAGGGTTGGTGTTGAAGCCTCCTTATGCTAGCCGCACCAGGAGCTGATAGCAGCGGCGTCGCGAGCAATCCTTGCGAAGAACTCCCGATGGGACGGCGAGGACAATTGGTTCATTTGGTGTCAAACTACTGTACCCCCAAAACAGTGTTCCGCTTACATAGGCATCCATGTTGTGGATCTGCTCAAAGCATTTGTACCCTGGTTCTACGATTTTGGACTGACTAAACTAACTACAGTATAAGGAAAAGCCCAAGACTAACCTCAAGCTAAACTCCAGACTGCAGATGAAACAGATGAAACCCGAAAGCCCGTCTGGACTTGCGAAGGAGCTTCTGCAGCCACAGCAGTCACCAAATTGCAGTCAGACCTTCGGCTTTCGCCACGAGTTGGTCTTGTGTTGAACTTGCGTCTTGCTGCTGAGTAGCTGGCCTTGAACCGTTTAACCCTCGTGCGCCTTTGTGAACAGTTGAACCAGTAGCAACTTTGCCTCTTGTGGACCAGGGAGTGCAGCAACTCGGTCTGTAGCCTTTCTACTGGTAGAAGAATGTTATCTCGAGCCTGAGTTGGGTAGTTGTCCGCATAGCGGCAGCTGCAATGACACATCCGTGATGCTCAACCCGAAGCCTTACCGGTAGTCTCCATTGTAGTTCCGTTGTTGGGTCCACTTGGTAGGATCTCAACTATCAAACTGGTTAAACAGACTTAAGTCAAAATAATGAAGTACCATGAAGACGATAGGTAAACTGTCGTTACCTTCCCCCAGGTTCACTTTCAGCAGAAGTGCTGCTCTTCGCAACCAGCCCCTCGGCGTTTCTGTGCTGCTGCATTAATCACTTCCTCAAACTACCAATTGACCACATCCCTATTTGTTCGTAGGTTCTTCTTGCAAACCAAGATATCTACCCTAATGTGGCGTTTATGTAGATTCAGGTAGTCCTTGGGAAGCTACTTCTTGTTCCTAAGGAATGTCGTGGGGTGGTACGGAGCAGATGTGGTAGATGAAATCGACAGTCTTGGTCTTTCTTTTCATCACCGTCGACACACCCTCACCTCCATTCTACAGCCGAAGACATATGTCAGGGGCCAAATTGAATCAGAACTGGATATGGGAAGTTCTATGTAAATACGGTTCCTTCTTTATCCTCCCCCTTCAATGAGCCTGAATAGGAACCCTCAGAACCCCCCTCCCCCGAATTCTTCGTTCAACCTTTCAATTAGACCACTTTAAAACCAAGCAAGCATTGTATAAGCAACCATCAGAAAACACTGTCTGCTCTGTGGGGTCTCGTCCCAGTGGAAGCAAAACGCCCAAAACCTCTGAAAACCGCTTAAACCCCTACACCCCTCAAGCCCCTAGCTTTAAGACAAAGCTAGATCCCCAGACCCTGAAACCCGAGACCCGTGTCCCGGCGAGGTACGTGAAGTGCAGCTGGAGGGAAGAGCAAGGCTTGTGGTCTCCGGGAGGCCAGGAACGGGTTTAGGGTTTAGGGTTGGGTTCTGGAGGGTAGGAAGGCCGAGCTCAACATGCTTTTGCAGGCGAGCAGATGTCCCTATACGGGAGATGCAGTAGCCAACAGGGTCCACTGTTTAGACCATCTCGTCTCGAACTGCGGGTGCTGCGAAGTATACCTTGATGATCAGAATGATGAAGGTGATGGTGGTGACTATGAAGATGAAGATGAAGAAGAACGATGATCAATGATGATGATGATGACGATGATGACGATGATGACGATGACGATGACGATGTCGATGACGATGACGATGACGATGACGATGACGATGAC